CCTGCAGGACACCCCTCCCAGGGTCCTGACCAGCACCCCCTAGGGTCCTGCAGGACACCCCTCCCATGGTCCTGACCCACACCCCCTCTCCCCCAGGGCCCTGACCCGCCGCCCCCCGAGAGTCATGCAGGACACCCCTCCCAGGGTCCTGACCCACCCCCCCCACCCCCCCAGGGTCCTGCAGGCAGGGCTGGAGGTGGAGCGGCTCCGACTACGGCACTTCTACCACCACTACCACTCCAAGCGGGGCATGTGGGGCGCACGCAGCCGGAAGGGCTCCCGCAGGGAGGGAGCCTGAAAACGAGGCCACCCCTCCCAGCCCTGACCGCAGTCCTGCGGTGGCCGCTGGAGGCCGGGGCCTGAGCCGGGGCCCTGGGGACAGCGGGGCTCATCACAGGGCACAGCCACCACCCGTGCCTGCCCATCTCTGGCCACCGAGGCCCCCCCGTGCCCTCCCCAGAGAGGCGCCTTCATGGCGGGTCGGGGTCGGGCGTGGTCCCCACACTCCGTGCGATGATTTCTGTGAAATTTTGCTGTAGCGATGACGTTGTTTTCAGGATTTCCGAGAGTTCTGTCTGTTCCGTTTTTTATTCAGAATGAAATGAAATATTTTTTTTAGTTCTGACTTGTCCTCTGCGCCTGGTTCTCTCGGGAGGGCAGAGACGAGCCTCGGCGGTGGCCCGAGCACCCGCACCCATGGGTGGCCTGGGCACCGTCCCTGCTCCCAACGCCCCTCCCCAACTTGCAGCTGCGGCCACCCACTGACCCCACCCTCCTCGCTTCCTCTGCCGTTTCCCTCTGAGCTTCTGTGTTGGGCCTGGAGGGGAAGGGGCTTCAGACCTCGTCCTCGCCACCCTGAGCCTGTGGACTCGGGGCCAAGAACAACAGACACCGCGCGGGGCCTTCCCACTTGCGAAGCCTTCCCACTTGCGAGGAGAGGATATTCGACCATCTCCTCGGGGCTCTTCACTTTGAAAACAGAGTGTGGACATCAGTCCTATGTTCTCCCCCCTGAAGGGGAAGGAGCACGGGCACCCTGTGGGCAGTGTCCTGTGACCAGGTTGGGGGGTTTCAGGGCTGAGTTGCCAGAAACAGAAAACCCAACTCAGGCTGGTTTACACCGTAATGGGGAGGTTGACTTTGGCTCATGTAACTGGAGGTTCAGGGTCTGGAGTGCGCTGGGCGCTACTGACCCAGAGGCTGGACCGTGCTGTTGAGGATCAGCTCCTCCCTGGGGGCTCAGCCCCAGGCTCAGGCTGGGTCCTGGTCACAGGAGGGAGGCTGGTGCTCTGCCTGGTACTGGCTGCCCGCCTGTGTGAGTTCCTTGGGCTGCTGCAACACGTCTCCACAGACATAGCGGCATTTATCATCTGTTACAGTTCTGGAGGCCGAAAGTCCTGAAGTCAAGGTTTCAGCAGGGCTGCCCTCCTCCTGGAGCTTTAGGACTGAATCTTCCTTCCTTTCCCAGCTTCTAGAGGCCGCCTGGATGTCTTGGCTCATGGCCCCTTCTTCCATCCTCAGAGCCAGCATCTTACCATTTTCACACCACTCTCTCCCTGTCTCTCTCTCTCTCACCTCTACTTCCATCATCACATTTCCTTCTCGGACTCTGACCCTTCTGCCTCCCTCTTATACGGACCCCTGTGATTACCTTGGGCCCACCCAGATAAGCCAGGATAATCTCCCCATTTCAGTCAACATCCTTTACTTACATCTGCAAAGTCCCTTTTGCCATGTGAGGTGACAGTCACAGGTTCTGGGGATTAGGGCGTGGACATCTTTGGGGAAGTTATTCCGTGAACTTGCTCATTAACGTTCAGTGGGAAGGCAGCACGGCTGCCAAGCAGCTCAAACAGTTGTGAGATTTACCCAGATTGTATCCTTACGTCATCGGTCACCACGAACACAGGGCAGCAGGAAGGATGTCAATGAAGGAGGAACAAGATGGACACTCCACTCTGGCCCCGAGAAGATTCTAAAGATGGCTCTGCTGGAAGGGATGGGAAAGGGGCATGCAGACCAGAGCATCCAGCAAGTGTTCACAGACACTGAGGCACCTGTGACATGTGGCTTCACCACAAGTCCTGCCGGTCCACAGGGACAAGTGCCCACAGGGCAGAGGACACAGCTAACCTGCCACACATCTACTCAGAAGCCACCAGATGCCCCAGCTCACACTGCCCACTCCTTCCTAAGTATCTAGTTCAATGGAATTGTCCCCATTCACAGATGTGTCATAACAAGAACTAGCACTGGACTTAAAATATACATACTACAAAAAAGAAGAATGGGGGGAGAAAAGACATGTAAGCCACAGGCAGAGGAAGCATACACATCAGAAATACAGTTACCTCAGGAAGCAGAAGGAAATTTCAGACAAAATTCCATGTGATCTGGACTATCCATACACCATAACTATTAACCCATTTTAACAACTACATGTTGAGCATCACTCTGTGCCAGGCACTGAGGAAAAAGCAGTCAACAAAGCAGACGAGTCCCTGCCCTCAGAGAACTTGCACTCTAGTGAAGAGTGGGGAGGAGCAGACAAGAGACACGAGAAAGTGTCTAGGATATTAGCTGGTGGCAGCTGTTGTAGAGAAAGATAAAGCCAGGAAAGAGAATGAAGAGTTGCTGCAGTTGTAAACAGTGGTTAGATAAAGCAAGTCAGAAGGTGACATCCCAGCAAAGGCCTGAAATTGTGGTGAGGGGGCTACCTTGAGGAGGGGGGTTAGAGGTAACATCTGAGGAAACTTTTTCAAATCAGCGATAAACTCCTCACCACTCCTCTTCAACGTCGGAAAGTACTGGAAGTCCTAGCTGATGCAGTAAGACAAGAAAAGGAAATAAAGGGTGTACAGATTGAGAAAGAAGAAAACTTTTTGTGTGCAGATCGAATGAGCATCTATGTAGAAAACATAAAAGAATCAACCAAAAAACTTCTGAAACTAAGATGCAGTTGAAGCAAGGTTGCAGGATACAAGGTTAATATACAAAATTCAATCACTTTCCTACGTACCAGCAATGAACAATTGGAATTTGACATTTAAAACACAATACCATTGGCATTCGTACCATAAAAAATGAAATACTTAGGTATAAATCTAACAATCTGTACAAGACCTATATGAGGAAAACTACAAAACTCTAATAACAAAATCAAAGAACTAAATAAATGGAGAGATTTCCCATGTTCACGGATGGAAGACTCAATATTGTCAAGCTGTCAGTTCTTCCCAACTTTATCTATAGATTCAGTGCAATCCCAGTCAAAATCCCACCAAGTTATTTTGGGGATATCGACAAAATTATTCTAAAGTTTATATAGAGAGGCAAAAGACCCAGAATCGCCGACACAATATTGAAGGAGAAGAACAAACTTGGAGGACATGACCAACGTCAAGGCTGACTATAAAGCTCCAGTAATCAAGACCACGTTGTATTAGCAAGAGCCTAGACAGATCAATGGAACAGAACAGAGAGCTCAGAAATAGACCCACATAAATACAGTCAACTGATCTTTGACAAAGGAGCAAAGATAGTCTTTTCAACAAATGGTGCTAGAGCAACCAGAAAGCCACAAGCAAAAAAAGAATCTAGGGCCGGCCCCGTGGCTTAGTGGTTAAGTGCACGCGCTCCGCTGCTGGCGGCCCGGGTTCGATCCCGGGCGCACACTGACGCACCGCTTTTCCAGCCATGCTGAGGCCGCGTCCCACATACAGCAACTAGAAGGATGTGCAGCTATGACCATACAACTATCTGCTGGGGCTTTGGGGGAAAAAAAATAAATAAAATTTAAAAAAAAAAAAAAAAAAAAATCTAGACACAGACCTTACACCTTTCACAAAAATTAACTCAAAATGGATCACAGACCTACATGTAAAATGCAAAACTGTAAAACTCCTAGAAGATAACACAGGAGAAAATCTAGATAACCTTGGCTATGGTGATGACTTTTTAGATACATTGCCAAAGACATGATCCATGAAAGAAATAATTGATAAGCTGGACTGCATAAAATCAAAAACTTCTGCTCTGTGAAAGACAATGTCAAAAGAATGACAAAACAAGTCACAGACTGGGAGAAAATATTTGCAAAAGACACAGCTGATAAAGGACTGTTATCCAAACTATAGAAATAACTCTTAAAACTCAATAATAAGAAAACAAACAACCCAGTTAAAAAACGGGCCAAAGACTTTAACAGACACCCACCAAAGAAGATATACAGATGGCAAATAAGCATATGAAAAGATGCTCCACATCATATGTTATCAGGGAAATGCAAATTAAAACAATGAGATACCACTACATACCTATTAGAACGGCCAAAATCCAGAACACTGACAACACCGAATGCTGGCGGGGATATGGAGCTACAGGAACTCTCATTCATTGCTGGTGGGAATGCAGAATGGTGCTGCTGCTTTAGGAGACAGTTACAGGTTCTTACAAAACTAAACATACTCTTATCATATGAGCCAGCAATCACACCCCTTGGTATTTACCCAAAGGAGCTGAAAAATTGTGTCCACACAAAAACCTGCACACAGATGTTTACAGCATCTTTATTCATAATTGAGAAAACTTGGAAGCAACCAAGATGCTCTTCAGCAGGTGGATGGACAAACCGTGCACATCCAGACAATGGGGTATCATTCAGCACTAAAAAGAAATGAGCTATCAGCCATGAAAAGACATGGACGAGCCTTAAATACATATTATTAAGTGAAAGAAGCCACTCTGAAAAGGCCACATACTGTATGATTCCAACTATATGACATTCCGGAAAAGGCAAAACTATGGAGAAAGTAAGAAGATCAGCGGTTACCAGGGGTTAGTGGAGAGGGAGGGATGAATAGGCGGAGCACAGAGGATTTGTAGGGCAGTGAAACTACTCTGTATGATACTGGAATGGTGGATACATGTCACTACACATTTGTCCAAACCCATGGAATATATAACACCAAGAGTGAATCCTGATGTCAACTGTGGACCTTAGGTGATTATGATGTGTCAATGTAGGTTCATCAGTTGTAACAAACGTACCATCTGCTGCGGGATGTTGGTAATGGGGAGGCTATATGTGTGTCGGGGGGAAGGAGTATATGGGAAATCTCTGTACCTTCCTCTCAATTTTGCTATGAACCTAACAGTGCTCTGAAAAAATTAAATCTCCAGTGGCCGGCCCAGTGGCATAGCGGTTAAGTTCACACACTCCACTTCGGCGGCCCAGGATTCACAGGTTTGGATCCCCGGCGCAGACCTACTCACTGCTTATCAAGCCATGCTGTGGGAGGCGTCCCACATATAAAGTAGAGGAAGATGGGCACAGATGTTAGCCCAGGGCTAATCTTCCTCACACAAAAAAATAATAAAAATAAAATAAAATCTCCTTTAAAAATCAATGACAAAAACAAAGGAAATTAAAATTATCTGACAACACGAGGAAAACATGGAAGAGAAAAATAAAACCTTTACAGAAATAAAAGTCACTTTTATTCAAAAACCACCATTATTCAAAAAGTAGGAATAGCTGTTGTTGAAAACCCAGTCAGGAACACAGAAGTCAGGTTTGAGGAAAGGATACAAAATGAAATGGAAAAGAACAGAGTTAAAAGTGATCAGTGAGGAGACAACAGAAGAGGGAGCAGAGACGAGTGAGAAGACGAGAAGAAACTAAAGAGAGAAAAAAGACGTAAGTAATACAGCAGAAGAAAATGTTTCTGAAATTAATAAAGGCCAGAATCCAAAGTGTGAAACACCGACGCCAGAAAGTTCCCCAGTGCGTGTGACACGAAGTCCTGGGCGGCAGAGGTGAGGACCCCGTGGGCATCAGCAATGGGGGTCTCCACCCTCAGCCTGGATCAGGCCTCGGATTTCCCCACCTGAGGGAAGGAAAATTAGAGCCCAGAGGCACACGCAGCCCCGATGTGTTCACGCAACAAGGCGACCGGCGAGGCAGTGAGCGCAAAGGGCTCCAGGGTCAGGCAGTGGGAAAGGACCCACAGGAGCCAGATCCGATTTCAAACAAAACTGAAGCTAAACCCCAGGGTGGGTGAACAGCGCAGATGCCCCTTCTGGGTCCCTGTGGAGGAAATGGCCCCAGGAAGTGGCCCAGACCTAGCTAGGGGACCACCCCGGGCTCTGCCAAGACCCCCCCCCCCCAGCCAGCGCTGCCCCCCCCCACCACTCCCGTCCTGCTGTCACCCAGGGTAAGAAATGTCTCCACACGGCTGACCAGCACTGCAACTTCTGGAAGCTACTGAGCCTTGGAGCCTCAGCGTCCCCACCTGTAGGGTGGAGGCCGTCACAGCTCAGCCCTCCCGGGGCTCCTGTGGACTAAGGACAGAGTGTCACAAAGCGTTTGTTTGTTCATTGCCCACCAAACCCCAGAAGGAGGGATCTCCGAGGAGCCGTATCCTCTCCGTCACGCACACCTTCCCCAGAGCAGGGCCCCCGCACAGGAAGAGCTCAGGACCAACTGAGGAAAGACGGAGGATGGACGGATGGACCGACGGAAGGGCAGGCGGTGGATGGGGGGTCGGATGAAAGGTGCACCCCGCTCCCTGGGGCCGACTGGGACCCGTATCCCTCAGCCACCTTCCAGCCAAAGGCGCAAGGCGGGAGGTGGGCGTGCAGAGGATGCCAGGTCCCCTATCGCACCCAGGGCTCCCGGGGATCCGGAAGGCGCCCACGCGCAAGTCCGGGTAGGCTCCGTGGAGGAGGCGGGCCCTGGGCTGGACTCGGCGGGAGCCTGGACAGCAGGGTGTTGGAAGTTGGCGAGCGTGGGCGCGGGTTTGCGGAAGTGCCCGGGACGCGCCGGGCTGCAGCCGAGAGGCGGCGAGAGCTGCCGGAGCTGCGCCCCCGTACCTAGCGCGTCACTCGTGGGAGGGCCGCGCCGACCCGTCCCCGCGCCTGCAGGCTGTGCGCCCCGGGCGACCTACCTAATCTCTCGGTGCCCCAGCGCGCTCCTGAATTTTGTTTGGAATGTTATTATGCTGTTTGCGTCTTCGAGGTTTTCTCCCCACCTTCTGCTCCTTCATAAGCCCCCTCCAGAAGGGGGGCGCGGGGGGTGCCCTCTGTGCCCCTCCTCCAGCTCCGCACGCACACACATGGCAGCCCCTTACCCCTGCTGAGCATCCCTTCAGGTCACCAAAGCCGGCAGCAGGGGCTCCTCCTTCCACCCCTCCTGACCTAGCCCTCGGCCCGGAAGGCCTCCCCATCCCCCACCCCTGCTCGGTATCCCCAGCTCCTCCTCTGGAGACTTTTGTAATAGCCGCCGGGGGTCCCCACTCCAGTAGACGCCTCAGCCCATCCTTTACACCCCGTCAGAGGGAGAGGCCCCCACAGGCTTCCTTGGGACTCCCCACCGCAGAGTCCAGGCTCCCCCCAACCCCGGAGCCGCCCACCTCACTCACGCACCCTTTGAGGCCGCAGGTCCCAGGTTCTCAAACCGGATGCCGCACCAACGCCACGGAGGGCTCACACGCAGATTCCCGGGCCCTGCCCACACAGCCAGCCCTACGCTCTGTTTTCTAAGCTCCCTGGGTGAATCCTCCGTCTGCCGCGGGGCTCCGGCGTTGAGAACGGTGGGGAAGGTTCTTGCCATGGCTGATCCCTCTGCCCTGCAGCAGTTTCCTGGGACACTGGGCCACAGAGGCGGGAGGTCCGCATGGGGAGGGGTCCACATGTTGCTACCAACAGCTTTGGGGCACCCCCAGCCCTCCCTGCCAAGAGGAGGGGGAAGCTCTGCAGAACTGGGGACCCTGCAAGCTGTTCAGGAACTTTCAAGGCTGTTGAAAACCGGGCCTCTAGGGGTGCCTCCCGCTGTGCCATCCCCTGCCCCGGGGCCTGCTCTCCCTCCCATGGCTCCCTCGGCACCAAAGCCCCCCTACCCCTGTGCAGCTCTGGCCCTCCACCGGGGGCCTTCTCACAAGCCCTCCAGAACCCTGCCTGCAGCCTGAGGCTGGCTTCCTCAGCCTTGCTGCCAGACCTGGTGGACCCGAGTGAAGGGCGGGCCCCAGGCCCATGCCAGGTGTGCGCCTCCAGGCCCGCTCAGCACCGCACAAACTTGTCTCCCGGGATTTTTCCACACAAAACACATCTCCCAGGGAAGCAACCGGTCTGATGAGCTGGGCGTGCGGGCATTCCCACCCCGCCCCCACGGTCCTGTCCCGCAGTGAGAGGCAGCCCCAGACGGACGTGCTGGGCCGGAATGGAGCCCGGGCCAGCAGCAGTGGCCTCCGGGATGAGCCACAGGGCCAGCAGTATCTGGACCACCAGCAGGGTAGGTCTCCCACCCATGCATCACCCCTCCAGCCCGGCGGCCACACCCCAGGCTTCACCCTGACCTTTCCAGGGACCCTCCCCTCCACCTCTAACCCCCCACACTGACCTGTGACTCCCACCTCCAGCCCCCTCCTCCCTAGCACCGACCTCACCCCAGGACTGCCTCCTGAACCCCCTCCTCACCCCCCGGCCACTGCCGCCCAGCCAGCATCCCCACCTGGGACCATGTCCTCTGCCAGGACTGACTGCAGATTAAAGCAAATGCCCCCGGGCCCAGGGTAAGGGCCTCCAGGGGAGAGAGGGCCCAAAGGGACAGACTCCAGGGACAGAGGAGGCTGTTCGGGTGGGCCCCATGGTGAGTTTTCAAGGGGAACCCAGGAGGTACTCAGCCCCCACCCTCCAGCCCTGCTGGGCTTACCCCTCGCCCCCCCTCAGTCTACCAGGGGCCTGCCTGGACCCTTGCCAGGCCGACCCAGGAGGCCTTGAAGCATGCTGGTCCAGCTGGGTGGGGGCAAGCCCCGCTGGGCCTGGGCCTCCCCTCTCGCCTCTGACTCCAACACCCCCATGCTCTCCCCGACTCCCAGGTTCTTCTCTGCACACTCCAGCTCCTGCCCCCCCCCCCCCCCCCCC